AGGAGGGGGAAGGAGGGTGATCGATTCTGAGAAGCAGGTGGAGTTGGGCGGCGGCGCTGGTATTGGAGGAGAGGACGAGCAGAAGGGTTGGTGAGGAGGGGACGGACAGCAGGCGAGGACGGTGTGCGATGGAGCGGGACGGTGGGATGGGTTTGCTGGGATAATGGAGTTGGGGAGGTGGGCCGGGGATGATGTTGGGTGGGATGCGGGTCGGTGGAAGAGAGGGTAGTAGGCGGCTGGTTTGTGGGAGGTGGGTGTGGGTTTAATGGTGTAGGAGTCGTGGGCAGGGACGGAGAGAAAGGGGTAGGAGAGTTGGGCTGGGGTGGAGGCAGGCCCAATGGGGGAGCGGGCAAATGGGGCAGATCAGGGGGTTGTATGGGGGTTACAGGAATAGTGGGTATGGAGGATGAAGGAGAAAGATGGAATAGGGTCGGATCAGGGGAGGGAGTAAGAGGAATTTTGGGATCGGAAAACGGAAATTTGGTCTCATAAAAAAGAACATGATGACTCACATAAATGCGAGAGGTCGTCGGATCAAGGCACCGATAACCTTTATGCAACTTACTGTAACCAAGAAATACACAAGGAATCGAGCGCGACTCAAGTTTGTGAGATGTGTAAGGGCGTAACCAGGGATAGCACAAACATCCAAAGATACGAAGATTAAGAACATCAGGAGAACGTTTAAACAATGTTTGAAAAAGAGAGGCATTTTGAAGAAGAGGAGTGGGAGTGCGGTTAATGAGATAACACGCAGTATCAAAGACGAGAGGCCAATATTTGAGGGGGACGCGAGTTTGATGAAGCATGGCAAGGCCATTGTTAACAATATGACGGTGCTTACGTTCGGCACACCCATTCTGTTCAGGAGTGTAAGGACAAGATGAACGATGAATAATGCCATGACTCGCAAGATAGGATTGGAGGGCTTGGAATTCGCCGCCCCAATCGGATTGGAACATTTTAATGGGAAGGCCAAACAATTTCTCAACAAGCTGGCGAAACTGAATGAAGACTTGGGGAAGTTGAGATTTATATTGAACAAAATAAATCCAACTAAACTTACTATAGTGATCATAAAACAAGATATAATAGGATTGATTGTCATATGAAAGAATAGGGGCCGGACCCCATAGATCACTACAAATAAGCTCCAAAGGAGCAGAAGCATGATAGGTGGATGTAGGAAATGGAAGTTTGTGACTTTTGCTAACAGAACAACCATGACAAAGAGAAGTCGAATCATCACGATAATTTATTTTATTGCGAGATAAAAAGGATTTCACTACTCGCAAATTGGCATGACCAAGACGTTGATGCCAGAGATCAAGAGAAGCGGAGAAAGCAAGAGGCGTCGTGGGACGAGAGATGGAGAGCAGAAGCGAATAGAGGCCACCATCCACGGAGCCGCGATAGAGTTCAGATTTCGTGCGGCGGTCCTTAATAACAAAATAAGAATCAAAAAATTCAATGGAATAGGATTAGTTCGAGTGAGAGAACTAATGGAAAGAAGATTATAAGGCGCATTTTTGACACGAAGAATATTATCAAGGGAATAAGAAAAATTGGAGAGAGAAGCACGAGAAGAACCAGAATGAGAAATAGATAGACAATTACCGTTACCAATGGTCACTTGATCAGTGCCATTATATTCCAAGTGATGAGCCAAATTATCCAAATCAGAGGTAAGGTGATGGTCAGCGCCTGAATTGAGCAACCATTGTTGGGAAGAATGGGCCGGATGGGAGGATTGGGCTAAATAAGAGGCTGGGCCAGGAGCAGTGGTGGGCTGAGGAGAAAAGGATGGGCTTGGACAATTGGGCCGGATGTGACCCCTTCCTCCACAATTGTGACAAATAAGATGAGATGGGCCAGATGGACTTGCAGGACTAGAGCCCAAAAGCCCGGCAGACCCAGGCCTGCTAACATACATAGGGTTATGGGATTGGGCCTGTGGCCTGTAGCCACGGCCAGGAGAGCGGCCGCCACGGCCTCGCTGGAACCGTCCGCCACCTCGACCACGAGCAGGGACGCCGGCATAAAAGACCTGCATAGACGAAGAGGAGCCGCCACTAGTAGCCTGATAACGACGGAGCTGGAGCTCCTCACTCACCAAGAGACTGCTCAAGTCTTCAAAGGAAACCGGCCGAAGTTGAGCCTCCAAATTGCGGGTGAAAGGGCGAAAATCTTCGTCTAAGCCATCGAGAACAGCCGTCACCAACTCTGCTTCAGTGATGGGCGCCCCCAGCACCGCGAGTTGGTCGAACAACCCCTTGGCGCATTGGAGGTACTCATGAGCAGAATCGTTTCCGCGGGAAAGCTTCTTGAATGACCGGCGAAGGTGTCCAATTACCACCGGCGACCCGGAAGCATAGACACGAGCCAGAGAGTCCCAGGCCTCTTGCGCGGTGGACTTGTTGATGACAATCGGCATGACCGATTCAGAGAGAGATTGGGTGATCCACATCAGCACCAGTTGATCCCGCTCATACCACTGATTGTATGCAGGATTGGGCTGATCGGCAAGAGACGGCGGCGGAGGACTGACAGAGCCATCAACGTGGCCCATGAGTCGGGAGCATCGGAGCAGAGGTTGAAGTTGGGCGCGCCACAGAAGGTAATTCGTCGGAGTAAGCTTCACCGACAGTTGGGGGTTGCTGGGAAAAGAAATAGGAGCAGGGGCAGAGGAGGAGACATGAGCAGAGGAGGGAGAAGAGGTAGAAGAGGTTATAGATTCAGTAGCCATGAGAACAGGGGAGAAGAATGAAATTGGCAGAGAAAAGAGAGACTCGTTGGAGTTTACAAGAGCTCTGATACCATGAAAGTGTACTGTGAATCCTACATATTCTCATTGATCATTAGTGATATATATACAGGAGTGTTATAACAGAGTTTGCTATTCCTACGTACACCAGCAACTACCTACTAGAAGTAAGGAACAGAAACAACAAAGTGAAAGAGCTGTTGGAGAGCTGTTGGGCTACTCCGAGAATGGCTCTCCCTTATCACATTTAACAAGGACCATTACATCTCCTCTTCCCTCTGATCATAAAACCCACGGACTGTAGTTCATTTAACTTAACAGGGAACAAAAGTCAAAAGAGGATCATCTTCATTAACAAAAAACTGCCACATAGTCACATAGGGCAGAATATCATGTTTAACACCACACAAAAGAAGGCCTTGAATTGGGTACCCTTGAATTGGACTAATGGCTATATATTGGGTATAAAGGATACCCATACTATCCAAACGGGTATTAGTGGGTAACCCGCGGGTAGTCATTGTTGAAATTTTCAATCTCATATCCCATCCCATAATAAATATTATGGGTATTTGGGTACCCGTAACCCTACAAAAACTAGACGGGTATGGGTAATACCCAAATATCCGTTTCCCGTTTTCCACCCCTATTAGCATATACGAGGGTACACCTATATAAGTTGTCTCAAATAACATTATTGTGACTTATTTATTTGATGTTTTAACAAGTGAACTTACTGTGGAACGTAGAAACTTCTGCTCAATCCGTTGAGCGAGGTGAGTTTGTGTATCCTAATATAAGCTATTGGATGAAAAAGCATGTTTTCAACTGTGGGAGTTCTAGATCATTCTATAGAGCTCATAGAGATGGAGGTGCTCCTTAGCTTTGATGGATGCTATAATAGGGGAAAGGGGAAGAGCATGGAAGTTTTTCAAATCAGAGTGCTGATATTATATAGGCAAAATTCACTTTCATAGTTATAACTTTGCACTTTGTGACAAATATAGTCAGATTTTGAGAAATACACAAATATAGGCATTCCGTCCATTAATGTAACGAAAATATAACGATTGCTGAATGGACAAACCGTCATATTTGACCGCGTTTAATTTGGACTATGTGGCATGCCATCAGGGGCGGACGCACGGGACTTTAGGGGTGTCCCGGGACACCCCTAAATTTTGGGAAAACGATTATTCAACCCACGGTGGTAATTTACGCATGGGTAAAAAAATATAATTGATAGTGAGGGACACCCCTGAAATTTGAAAAAATGATTATTTTACTGTCATTTTTTAAATTTGTGTATGGGAATATAAGTGGTAGGTTGGGTAATTCAAACCTAGAGCACTATTATTATTAATACACTTAATTTTCATTAAACTACAACTCATTTGTTGTTCGATTTTGAACACTGCATTCCCTATCTCTAATTATTTTCAAAACCTAGCAATTAAACTAATTTCAACCTACCCTTAATTTGTATTGATTTTATCGTTGTACGACAAGTGTTGAAAGAGTCTTTAAACTTTGGGTTACATCAAGAACAAGTTTACAAATCGAATATGCGATAAGTTCGTGAATGATTGTCTAGTAGGGTATATAGAGACAATTTTTTTAGCATTGTAGACACCAAGTGTATTCTACAATTATTTCAGAATATAAAAACACATAATGAACTAAACCTCTACGAGTAAGGTATTTTCTTATTTACATTCTATTTTTATTTTTATTAAATTTATTTTTAAAAGAGGACACCCCTATGAAAAATTCCTGGGCCCGCCACTGCATGCCATGGTGGAAAATCAAATTATTTATATTTATTATGCTAAATAAAAAGATGAAAAAGAAAAAAAAATCATCTCTCTGCCCCTTTTTCATCTTTCCTCCAACTAGGGATGGCAATGGGTCGGGTTGGGGCGGATTTTGTCAAACCCAAACCCAAGGGTTTATCCGCCAAAAAAACCCGGGGTATAACCCGTTGGGTTTGAAAAACTCAAACCCAACCCAACCCGCTGGGTATCCGCGGGTTCATGGGTACCCGTGGGTTTTTGTGGTAAAAATTTATAATAACAAGTTTCTTTCAAAATAAAAGTTTAACATCAATATTCTCATACAAATTAATCATACAAAAAACATCAATCTAGACCATACAAGCAAACCGCAAATGATCAATACAAATTGTTCAAAATTAAAGATAAACATATATAAACAATAAGATTAATTGAAAGTTTCTTCCTCGTCAACTAAGTTTCTTCACTCTCCACTTCATAATATCAACTTCATTCTAAACAATTAGAAAGAACAAATTATACATGTCTCCACAAACATATAGAATATTAGTTATTTAAGGAAGATATATTATTTAGAATATTAAATATACCGGGAAAGTAATTATATGTGTGTGGGCGGGTACCCATGGAGCGGGTTTACCTAAACCCAAACCCAACCTGACCCGGTGAATAGTGTAGCGTGTTTAAACCCGAACCCGGCCCAAAACCCGTCAACACAGGTTTTACCCGGGTTGACCGGATTGGGTCGGGTGGGTACCCGTGGGTTCGGGTTTTGTTGCCATCCCTACCTCCAACTCCCCCAAACCCCTTTCATCTACCACCGCACAAAACTTCAATATGCCAAAAATCTCGATCTCCAAAAGCTTCCTCTCCTCCTCCGCCGTATTTGTTGCTGCCGCCAAAGCTGTCCTCCGCCTCCTCACACTCCTCCCTCAAGCCCCACCACAGAAACTAACCTTTAGATCCAGATGATTCTCAGTCACTAAATTCACCGCCGTCGTCGTTGAAGCAGAGAAGTAGAGGAAGAAGGCAGCATCGAGCAAGGGGGAGAACGACCCTCATCTTTGCTGACCCACTTTATCAACTGGGATCTGATGAGGGAGAGAACGAGCGGATTGCTCCAGTGACGACGGTGGAGGAGTCTTCAATTTGAGTGGCAGAATGAGAAGTGTGGCAGCCGGAAAGACAGGCGAGAGAAGCGATTTCGTGATTTACAGGAGGGATTTGGAGAGAATGTTACAGGTTAGGGAAACGATTTAGTGATTTGAGTGACCGTCTCTGTTTCTCTCCACCATGGATCTAGGTTTGGGGAGAATGTTACGGCAGTGGCGAGGAGGGATTTGCATATTTTTTTTTGTTTTTTTTTAATGTAATTATATAAGAAGTGGAAGGAATGGATATTAAAATCTCCATTTGAAATTTTTATGTTTTTTCATTTGAAAATGTGATGCGGCGATTATGTGGCAATGGGGTCTACGTGGGCATGACGTGGCAGCCACATTAGAATGACATCCATTTAACTGACGGAATTATTGACGCCGTCAAATTATTTAACGAAAATGGCTATATTAGTAAAGCAAGTTTACAAAATGTGACTATATTTGTGTATTTCTCAGAATCTAGTTATATTTGTTACAAAGTGCAAAGTTATGGTTATAGAAGTGTATTTTGCCTGGTCCTGGGGCTGGTCAGGTTTAGGAAATAGGATGGACTGTTAGTGGATTTGGGCTGGGTTTTAGATTTGGGCTAATGAATTTAATAATTCTAATATGGAATCAAAGTCAAACTTTTGCATGTTTGAAAGTCTCATTTTCTCCTTGAAAAGACAATATTATACTTTTTTCTTATTACCAATATAATACTTTTTCGATGAGGTCGTTTGATTGGATTTGCTTGAAAAATGCATGTTGTTTACCTTGATTGCAAAGCCATGTCGATTTGTTCAATGAGCTGCTCATCAAGTTCTTAGTTTCTACATACAAAAATGTCCCATCCCATCAATTGCCGACATGCAAGCCAGCCAGCAACATTATCTCTTAAAATTTTGCAGTTTCTTTTATTAATTCCAGTGCCTTAGATCACTGCACTCCTCTTGCTCTATGTCAGTCTCCTAACCTGTAAACCAATCATCTACCTCCTCTCTTCCACAAAAAAATGGAGATCTCAGCAGAATACTACTACTTCGCCATCGCCCTCTGCTTGAGCTTCCTCGCCTACAGATTCCTCGGCCGCTGGATCAAACACGATTCTCCCCTGCCTCCATCTCCCACAGCTATCCCATTAATCGGACATCTCCACCTGGTCAAACCCCCGCTCCATCTCTCCCTCCAAAACCTCCTGTCCCACTACGGCCCAATCCTCTCCCTCAAATTGGGCCGCCGCCGGGCCCTCGTCCTCTCCTCCCCTTCCGCCGTCGAGGAATGCTTCACCAGAAACGACGCCGTCTTCGCCAACCGCCCCAAAACCATGGCCGGCGACCACTTCACCTACAACTACAGAGCCTACGTCTGGGCTCCGTACGGCGACCTCTGGCGGGCCCTCCGCCGCCTCACCGTCGCCGAGATCTTTTCCCCGAAGACCCTCCTCAGATCCGCCGCCGTTCGCGAGGAAGAGGTCCGAGCCCTGCTCCGCCGGCTGGGTAGATCCGAAATCTCCGGCGCCGGGGCGGCACCGGTGGATCTGAAGTTTCTGCTGTCCCTTCTGACGATTAACGTCATGATGAGGCTGGCCGTCGGGCGGCGGTGCGCGGAGGAGGAAGAGGCCGGGACGGAGGAGGAGAGGGGGAAATTTCAGGAGTTTAAGGAGAAGTTCTTCCCCAGCTTGGGGATGAACATTTGTGATTTCATTCCGATTTTGAGGGCGATTGGGTTCAAAGGGATCGAGAAGAAGATGGTGAAATTGAGGAAAGAGAGAGACGAATACTTCCGGCGCGTGGTGGATGGAGTTGTGGAAAGGCGGCATCGTCGTCGGGGAGAAGGTGATTCGGGAACTGGGAGCGACGGAGAAGGGGTGAGATCGGTGGCGGAGATAATCTTGTCTTTGAGAGAGTTCGATCCGGAGTTTTACTCCGACGACGTGGTCAATGGTTCTATTGCGGTAAAGTGACATTTTTGTGCCTTTCCGTTTCCTTGATATCTTATTTATTTATGTTTGACTTTGATGGCAATAATTTGTGTGTGTGTGAAGACCGAAGAGGATTTCTTCTCATTAAGCAGGAAAGTATTTATGATTGGTCATAAATAACAGGGTAATGGCTATTTTTTATTCAAATTTTTCTTATTTTTTTTATATTATCCAAACTTATTAAATGCTATTAATTAGTCAAATCTTTCGTAATGCATCAAAATATTAGTCTTTTTTATGTTAACGTTAATAATTTTGTAAAATTTTTCTTAGTTAAAATACTAAAATTTTGCAATATTGACATTCACATGTCTCTTCCAAGTCAGTATTATGTTGCCAAGTCAATATTACTAACAAAATTGCTCATTAAAAGTCAACAATTGACTAATTCTTAATATTTCGATAGGTTTGAACAATATAAAAGAATTTTAAAAAAGTTTGGATAAAAATTAGACATTACCCTAAATAATAAAATTTATGTTTGTTCGAAATTTTAAATGGTACCATAGAGATTAGCGAAGTGGCCATAAACTATAGAATTTTGACCAATTTGAAAAATCGTTTTGACTCATTAGTGTTGTTATATGCCTCTTTAATATTTTCACCATTATTATTTAGGATTTCAAAATCTTCATCAAGGTGTTTCTTAAGATCCATCTTATGAGAATTAAGATAAAAAAGTCACCCCTTCACAAAGTCTTATCTTTTTTTGACTCTTTGTTATTATGATCAGATGATGTTTGTTGCGGGAACAGAGACCACATCGATCACTCTGGAATGGGCAATGACGCTTCTCCTGGATCACCCACGGGTTATGCAAAAGCTGAAGGCGGAGATAGACAACAACATCGGCCACGAGCAGCTGCTAAACGAGCGCGACACCGCCAAGCTTCCTTATCTGAAATGCGTGATAAACGAGACTCTGAGACTGTACCCTCCGGCTCCGCTGCTCTTACCTCACTGCTCTTCCGAAAACTGCACCGTGGAAGGGTACCAAGTTCCGAAGGACACGACGCTGATGGTCAATGTCTGGGCGATGCACAGGGATCCGAAGCTGTGGGACGAAGCCGATGAGTTCGTGCCGGAGAGATTCGAAGTGGTGGATTCGAAGGACGCCACCGCAGCCGGCGGTGAAGGATGCAAGTACGCTCCGTTTGGAATGGGGAGGCGAGCTTGTCCTGGTGCTGGGATGGGGATGAATTTGGTGTCTCTGGCTTTAGGATCGTTGATTCAGTGTTTTGAATGGGAAAAGGTTGGGCAAGATGTGGAGGACATGACTGCTAAAATTGGGATGGCGTTGTCGAAAAGTAAGCCTCTAGAGGCTAAGTGTAGTCCCCGGCGTGATATAGGTGAACTTTTATCCCATGCTTAGCACATTGTAGTAACACATATTTGAGATTTATATAAAAAGGCAGGGTTATCTCGCACGTTCTGTATTTTACGGTTATTTAAAACGATGTTACATGCATTCAGCTATTATGAACTATAGAGAGACTAATTTAATAGTGTAAGGATGTGCTAGTCCTTAGAGGATCCACATTATAATTACATTTGGAATTACATTATGATATGAAATTCATTTGCAATTTTGCATTGATGTAGATGATAATTGTATCTTTGCAAGCTTGCATCAGATGAAATTATGGAATGCAAGGTACATCATATTTATTAATTATTAAATTATTCATTAATTTTGTTATTTTTGTTTTTTGCATAAGAGGGAGGTCCAAGAATCAAGAAAGGAGTTACAAAGGAGGCTTAGAGAGGGGAAGGAAGAGGACGGGAAACAATCCGCCTATCAAAACTAACCCCCATACAATCCTCGCGGAGGATGGAGGCCACTCCCGGTGGCGGATTAGCAAGCTCATACATACCATAGGGATAGACGAGACTGTGCTTCGAGAGCCAGTTCGCGACTCTATTCCCTTCTCGATATGTGTGAGTGATGCTAACCAGCCACTCCTGACTTAACTTCCTTCGAATCGCAGTCATCAAGGTTACATAAGGATGAATCGGGTCGTGTCTACTGTGGAGAAGTTAGATTGCCAGTTGAGAGTCCGACTGAACAATGAGAGCTCGACATCCAGTATTCCATGCAGATCGAGACCATGAAAAAAGGCCCATAACTCCGCAAGGGCCGTAGTGGTCGTACCGAGATTTGCGACAAAACCAGCTTTCCAGCGCCCAACCTCATCTCTCAAAACGTCTCCGGCACCCGCCTCCCCAGGGTTCCCCTTGGACTAGGGGTGATAATCGGTTGGCGGTTTCTCGGTTAAACCGAAAACCGAGCCGAACCGAGCGGTTATTCACTGAACCAAAAACCGATAACTTACCCTCGGTGGCGGTGTCAGTGGGTTGTTTTGGGGATTTATGTTAACCGGCAACCATCGGTGGCTAACCGAGATAAAATCGGTGCACCGCATAACCGCTCCGCCACTCCTTTTCCCCCTAATCTCCCTCCCAACCCAAGTCCCAACCCCTCCATGGATCTCTAGAAGAAGAATCTTTGTTGCCCTTTCATCCTCAATCGCTGTCGTCCGCCATCGAGATCCAGCAAAAGAAGGCCAAGAAGGAGAAGGGGTCGCTGCAGGCTGCAGCAGCGAATCGATCATCGGTCTTCGTCGCCATCCCGTCCTTCTTCATTCGCGGAGGTTGATGAGAACTGCAAAGCCGAAATAATCGAAGTGGTCTCAGTCTCCGCCCCTTCTTCATCCTCCAGATCCAAGGCCTATCGGCAGTAGCAGCAGGTCGATCTTCGGTCGCCGTCGTCATCATCGTCCCCTGCATCGCCTTGCATGTTCCATCCTCGTCGCCCTGCATTCTTCCTCAGCGTCGGCGCCTCCCATCTACCTCTCCGGCGCCCTTCGTCGGAGCCGATTGCCAGCTCACCGTCGCTGCAAAGTGAGAGGGGAAGAGGCTAGGAGCAGCGGAGTCAAAGAGGGAAATCTCAAAGATTGGAGAAGATTTTGAGAGAGAAAGAGAGATACGGGAGTTGGATTAGGAAATTTCCAGAGAGAAGGAGAGAGACAACCCAAAAATTCCCCTTATTTTATTTTAATTGTGAGGGTCGGTTTAGCCGACTAACCGCACCGTAGTTAGCGGTTTCGGTGGCGGCTAACCGTAGACCTTCTCGGCTTCGGTGACGGTTGGTGGTAACGGCCTATCTTCGGTGGCGGTTAACCGATGAATCGGTTCGGTTAAACCGCAACCGAATCGATTATCAGGCCTACATTGGACGCTCCATCAATGCTCAGGGCCATCCAACCTGCAGGCGGTGGATTCCAAGTGATCTCGGCATTGACGCGAGCCTGGGGTCGTGTTCTGGTGCATGGCAGTAAAGAAGGGGAGTTCCACGCTTCATACCAAAGTCTAGCCTTGTACACGATGGAGTGCGCAAGGGAAGGAGGCGAGAGACTAGCGCGATTCCTTTGAACGAGATAATAGTTATGTTTTTCCACAGCAGCCACACCGCAACACTGAAAAAGGAAGCCTAATCCATACATGCATCAACAGCATCCGAGTTATTCAAGTTCTCTCGAAGCCAAGTCGCCTCATCCATGGTGAAGAAGCGGCTTTGTCTTAGCCCTGGCACGTGGCGAGTCTTGAAGAAGAGAGCAGCAGGGCACCCTCGCAGAATGTGCAAGATCGTCTTAGGTGTTCCTTGACAGCGGGTACAGAAAGGATTCTGGGCAACCTTCCTCTCGAAGTGAAGTGAATTCGTTGCAACTTTCCCCAAAAGCACTGTCCACATGAAAGTTCTAATCCTTTCACGGACCGGCAGTCGCCAAATGATTTTCCAAAACTTCTCGCCGGGATCTTGCTGAAGGGGGTTGAGGAGCTCGTAAGTCGATTTAGCCGTGAAGCGCCCATTCGTCGTCGCCGACCAGAAAAGAGTGTCTTCCTCCATGGAGAGAGGATCGACGACAGTGCTCAAGATCTTCTGTTGGACTTCAATCGGAAGCAAATAGGCGAAGAGATCCGTCCGCCACCTTCCTTCGTGAGTGACAAAATCTGCCACCACCATCTCTTCCAAATCCCCTGGAATTGTGCTCACAGCCACATCTTTGAGGGGTACCTGCAAAATCAAAACATCCGACCAGAATTTAGTTTTTTTACAATTTTTAATATTCCAAGCGCAACCCTTCTGAAGAAGGTCAGTGGCTTTAGCAACACTATTCCAGGTGAAGGAACTTCCCTGAACTGGCCGGATAATGTCTAAGTCCTTCCTGTTACGACTGTACTTGGAGCGCATGACTTCCGTCCACAGACTGCCTCTTCTTTGAGGAGGCGCCAACCGCTTTTAGCAAGCATAGCCAGATTAGCTTGTCTAAGGGAACGAAGACCTGCTCCACCCTGCCTTTTTGGTAGGATCATCCTCTCCCAGGCAACTTGGTGCATCCTCGATTTATTCTCTTCCTCGCCCCAAATGAAGTCTCGGTTAATCCTGTCGATATCCTTGCACACCCCCTCGGAATCAGCTCAAAGTTCATATGATACACAGGGATTGAAGAGGCTACCGAACTAGCAACGGTAAGGCGAGCTGCAAAGGATAAACGTCTGGCTTTCCAGGGTGCGAGCTTCTTCTGAATCTGCAGGAGCAGCTGTTGGTATCTGCCTTTAGAGACTCGTCCATGGATAGTTTGGATCCCCAATTAGAGACCAATCTCTTGCTTTGAAGGAATGCCCGCTCTGCGACTTAGGTTCATCGCCCTGGCACTCGAGATGTTCGGCGAGACATGCATCACCGACTTGCTGAAGTTGATTCGTTGGCTAGAGCTAAAGCATAAGTCTTCCAGACAGCTTTTGATGATCTTAACTTGAGTTAGCTTTGCCTCCGCGAACAACAGCAAGTCATCTTCAAAAAAGAGATGCGTGAGAGGAGGTCCGCCCTGGGAAAGATAGATCGGTTTTCAAAGCTTATCCTCAACAGCCTTGTCAATCATGTGCGATAAGCGTTCCATACATAGAACAAAAAGGTAAGGGGAAAGAGGGTCTCCCTGACGGACTCCCCGGGAAGGAGTGATAGGTGGAGAGAGTGAACCATTCCAGAGGATCTGCGTCCGATTATGCTCAACACAATACATGATACACTGGATCCAAGAGCTGGGGAGGCCGACTTCTTTCAACGTGTCCCTAAGGAAGTCCCATCGAAGCATGTCATACGCCTTCTCTAGATCAAGTTTCATTACTAGTCCATCCTTGGCTCCTTTCTTCTTTCTAAAAGAATTTAAAATCTCCTGGACGATGATAAAATTATCCGTTGTTTGCCGACCAGGGATAAAATTGCTTTGGCGGGGCGAGATTAGCTTCCTCATGACTGGTTTTAGCCTATTAGCCATCGCTTTCGTGATAGCCTTCAAGCTGACATTATTGAGAGATATTGGGCGCAATTGAGTTACTAGCTCCGGGCTTTCAACCTTAGGAATCAACACTATGGTGGTTTCGCAAACCTCCTCCGGAAGAAGCTCTGAAGCGAAGAAAGCCATATCGGTAAGGTTCTTGCCCACCACTCTCCACATTTGCTGATAGAAGCAAGCCTAAAAGCCATCCGGCCCTGGCGCCTGAAACGGTTTCATATCGAAGACAACTTTATGGATATCCATGATGCTGAAAGGACGGAGAAGATTCTGCAAGTCCGCGTTGTCGAGGCGAGGAAAAGCAAGCTTGGGAAGTCTATCTTCATAAAGCATCCTGTAAAGCTTGGTGAAGAACTCAAAAACCAGCAAAGCTAGTTCCTGTGGATCATCCACCCAATTCCTGTTGGAATCCCAGAGAGCTCTTATCTGATTGCGCCTTCTTCGAATATTAACCAGTTGGTGAAAGTAGGCTGTGTTCCTCACCCCATATTTCACCCACTACTCCCTTGCTCTTTGGAACCAAAACAATTCTTCCTGTTCCAGTACCTTGTCTAACTCAACTTTTAACTTCGTGTGAAGTTTTACTAGACCAGGATAGAAGTTGGTGGCTTGCCTCATCTCCACCCCATGATTCTCCCCAGAAGCCGTCTCTTCCTAAGGTGATTGTTGCCAAAAACATTAGTGCTCCAAATCTGCAGTTTCGTGGCAAGATTATGGAGAGCAGACGGGAGATTTTTATTTTCATCCCAAGTACCTGAAACAAAATCCAAGAAGTTGTTATGAGTCATCCAAGCAGCTTCTAATTTGAAAGGACGCGGGTGATGGTTAAAATGCCTCTGGGTAGCAATTGTAGTAAGAATGGGGTTGTGATCGGATTGGAGGCGCGACAGATGAAGAACAGAGGTATTGGGATAGCTCGAATTCCACATGAGATTGCATAAACTTATGTCAAGATGGCTGGCCTTATAGCTGGTCTGTTGATCCCCCTGGTCCAAGTGAAGCTAGTCCCCGAGAAGCCTAGATCGATCAACTCGGCAAGGTTGATTCTATCATTAAAGAGACGACATCTTCGAAAGGTGGACATCGAAGCCACATCAGTCTTCTCATTGACAGTCCTGATCGCATTGAAGTCACCTGTCAACAACCATGGTTGATCCATCGACTTGCTCTGTTGAATCAAGTGATCCCATAAACTGCGTTGTTGACTTGGGAGAGGGGACGCGTAGACTGCCGTTAAGGTCCAGGGGCTATTGGTTCCTTGAGAGACGTGGATGACACATGCTGATTGCACGCTGATAGGAGTTGAACCGTGAATTTGCTACTATCCCAGAAGATCCATATCCCGCCCTTCCTACCCTCCGCTTCCACTCTAATCACTTCCGGGTATCCCAGCTTCTCACACACCGTGTTGGCCGCATTACCACTAATCTGAGGTTCAAGAAGACAAACAAAATCAGGTTTGTGGTTTTGTAGAGCAAGCTTAAGAGATTGAGCAAAGGCCCTATGCCCTGCCCCGCCCACATTCCACGAAAAAACCTTAACACTAGTTGTAACAAACATAATAAAACAACGTAAAAGGAGAGGGAAAAGGAGAATCAAAGCGGGAGAGATCCCCAAATCAAGTTGGGACCGCTTGGCCCCTTGTAGCTTCTAGGATAGTCTGTTCCGCCAATTCCTCCATCGGGGTGGCGACATTTCCCTTGCTCTTGGCGCCGTCCTTATTTCCTGCAGCTTCCGTCCACGCACTGATCTCCTGAAGTGAGAGCGTAGTTATACGAGCTTTCGATTTAGCCTTCTTTCTCCTTCAAGGGCGACCAGACTTGGAGGGATTTGCAGGGGTTTTGTTTGATGGGAGATCCTTTCTTTTGTCTATTTTTGGGGTGCTTGGTCTGCTTCATCCTTGCCGCAGTTAATGGCATATACAAATCACCCTGGCGAAGGAATATTTGCCGGCAGAGCCACTGTCACAATCTGCATCGTTGTTCCGTTCTGCCCCTTCACAATTTGAACCGACGGTGGGGAAGAGGATCCCGGAAGCACAGTTAAAGAAGTCAGAGGCCCAACCTTAGACGGGTCAAGGAGTGGATGCGGGAGGGCCGAGCTCACAGGGTTTGAGTTGCTTGTGGAAGTGGACGGCTTGTCGGTATCTGTCATGGGCTTAACTCTTTCTGTGTTGCCAACCTTACCAATTGGGCCGGAGCCAAGCATGCCTTTCTCAAAAGTGTTGCATTTAACCCTTAATTTGGAGTCTTCAAGGCAATGTTCCCTCTCCTCGTCGGGGTTTTTTAATCCTCAGTTTGGAGTTCTCCTCGTTGGGGTTTTTAACCCTCAGTTTGGAGCTTTCCTCATCGGGTTTTTTTAACCCTCAGTTTGGAGTCTTCAAGGAAATGTGCCCTCTCCTCGTCGGGGTTTTTTAACCCTCAGTTTGGAGTTTTCCTCGTCGGGGTTTTTAACCCCCAGTTTGGAGCTTTTCTCATCGGGGGTTTTTAACCCTCAGTTTGGAGTCTTCAAGGCGTTGAGCCCTTGGCGAGGGCATGGTATTGACTAGTCGAGGCGCGAACCGTGATTATTAGACCTCACCCATTGTAGATTCTTCATGGCGTTTACTAGTCGAAGCTCGGGCCGTGATCATATGTGCTTGATTGAGTTTCTTATTTCCCATGTTGTTTGGTAAATCTTTGTCTGCTAATGGGGTTCACGATAATCCAATATTTAAAATCAAAGTAAAAATTTTAGAGCGATTGTGTACTTAGCTTTTAAGTTGGCGAGGCGGCAGGAAGAGTCAATAAGATAAGACCACTGCGGCCATTATTGACAAGATAGGTTTGTAGTCTGTTGGTCAACTTGCTTGTCAGTCTGAGAAGTGGCGCGGGTCCAAGTACTCGCGTCGACAATATTATTTTTGAATCGCTCTGTGCATGTTGGGCTTTGCGATCCGCGAGTTAAATGGAACTGGGAGCTAGCTGGAAGTGATGCAATACAGGCCTAATAGTCGCGAGACTGTTGTTGGGGCTGAAGGCGAGGCAAAGCCTAGTGTGAGGCATGGATCGGAATAGAGGACGTGGGCCCCGTGAGTTGAAGGTGTGAGCGGGCCAATGTGGAATGAGAGCGAGCGGGCTTGATCTTGTGGGGCGGGAGACGCGAGGTTGGGACTAGTTGTACAGGTTGGTGACGCGGGCATGCATAGTTGGAGGCTGAATCCTAGGCCGTGGGAGAGGGCCAGATCCGAGTTGTGCCTCGAGTTTTAGACTCTAGTTGTGCGGGCTGGTGACGAGGGTTCAAAAGTTGGAGAAGTGGGCCCATATGGTGGTGGCCGCGAGTTAGATTTTGTATCCCTCATATTTGGCGGGCTGGAGAGGCGGATTGGATGCGCCTTGGGCCGCCAAAGGAGGTTTGGACCCATGTGCAGTAGTGAAGGCTGTTCAGAACTCACAGACTATTTGTTGAGGTTTTGAACTTTTATTTATTTAATTTTTTCTTCTTCTCTTCCTTTCTCATCGCTGCAGTTTCTTCTTTCTCGGTTCTCGGTCGCCTGCGCTAGCAGAGATGATTGGTTGGGCGACGAATGCCGATTTCAGATTGGTCCGCCGTGCGTGTCAGTCGATGAGCGGAGACGAGCACTTCTACTCTGTGTAGTTCACCGCCGCTCCTGAGTCAGTGCTCCCGTAGGGGAGAGAGATGCATGAAAGATCGTCTTGGGCGGAGAACGATTTGAAGGCCCGTGGTCTTCGTAGCAAATGAGCGAAGGAGGTGGCGAATATTTTGAAGATCTACGGCGGTTTGGGTCGGCGATGAACAGAGGATCGGTAGCAAGGGCGACAAATCGTAAAGCGGGTCTTTTGAATTGAAGCGTCGAGCGGTTGGAAGGGAGCCCCGGAGTTCGTGAATTTGTAGAGAATTTGGCCGCGGTCAGCGCGTTGTCGGCATGGGCGGAGAACGAAGGTCGTCGTTTGCCTTCCTACATTTGGCGCTCTTTAATGTCGTCCTCCTTTGTAGATCTGATAAGGAGCCCATGACGCACTAGTCACGCGGGGGCGATGAGAGCGAAGGTTCAGGCGGACAACGTTTGTCGCGCGGGTAGTGACTCCTCTGGATAATCCTATCCTTCTGCCTCGATATTCGGTCTCTCGATTGCTGCGCCCATATGCCTTTCAACTCGACGACGTGACAACTGATTGGTGACTAGGATATGACTTCTTCTTTGTTCTTCGGAGACCTGGCGGTGGGTATGACGCGGTCAAAAAAGTCACCGGAATCTGGTGTTTTCTCTCTTCTTGCTACTGGGAGATAAGGGACGGCGAGTGGTGGACTGAGGTATCAACCGAAGATGGCTTGAGGCGGCGGGCGAGACGAAGAAGTTGTCTTGGTTTTTTTTCCTTAGATCTGGAACTTCTAGTCGGGATGAACTTCTCTGATAGTTGATGTCGGCTGGTTGAGTGGTTGTTCACACTGGTGAAAGAGATTTCCATCCTTTGCATTTTTCGGCAGGCTTGGATTTTGCTAGCTTGTAGTTGGTGGAGGAATAGTCGATTATCCCCAAAAGAAACCAGATATGGAACATCACTCTGTTTTTTCTTCTGATTTCTTTTCTCTAGTTGTCGTCGAGTTCTTAAGAATTTTTCCACAAATAGCACCTTTTAAAAAAAAATACAAAAATAGCACCCACCCGAAAATATTTACAAAAATAGCACCATTTTTTATGGACCGCACATCCAAGGTGCGTTTTATATGTAAACTGCACATGGAGGGTGCGTTTTATATATAAACCGCACCTCTAAGGTGCGGTTGATTATCCTGGGCCAAAACGGCATCTTGGCCACGCGGTTTCAAGTCTGACCTACATAAACCGCATGGCCGAGGTGCGGTTTTGGCCTGACCTATCAAAACCGCACCTTGAAGATGCGGTTTGCTTCTCCAAAACAAAACCGCATCCCCAAGGTGCGGTTTTGCCACACAAACCACACCCCCAGTGCGGTTTGTGTGTCAATTATTTTCCGACACCCGACATATAGCCATGCAGAATAACAGACGCGGGGCTGCATGGCAGACGAAAATCGCATCTCTAAGGTGCGGTTTTCATCAGTGATTTTTCCTATAAAAGACTGCACGGAAAACCTCTTCTCTTCACACCTCTCCTTCTCCCTTTTCAATTTTCTGTTCTAGCTCTATATTTCTTTAGTGTTTTTGCGATTAACGTTAACTCGTAAGTTTATTTTGTATTACTTTTTATTGTTTTTTGTGATTTGTGATTTTTATGATATTAACTGAACTACGATTTTTTTGCAGATGGCATTCCAAAAGTTCACGCTTGGCTTACAGTGGAATGGTTACACGGAAGAGACCGGAAAGGGGGTCACCTACGTCGGTGGCAATTTTCAGAAAATAAAGGTCGCTACCAGACCGATGCTTGAAGACCTCCATCAAATGTGCACTAACGTTACTTGCATGGATGGCACGAGAGGAGTTGATCGTATGGTGTACCGATATCAAAACAGAGAAAGTGGGTCATTGTGGCATGAGGACTATCTCATAACCACTCAGGATGAAGTAGATTCCATGCTCGAATTCTTGAGGTCCAACAATCTTTCCAAAGCCGAGATGTTCGTTTACACCGAGGCGGCCGTTGGCGTTAGAGGTCATTCTGGACATGGTCAAACATCTGGTATCCATGGTGGAGGTGAATTATATGGCGATCATCCCTACCAAAGTTACCATGATCCTCATTCCTATTTTCAGTACCAAGAGCAAGGTGAAGGTCATCATCAATCTTTCCCGTCATATGAAGAAGAAGTTCAACCGGACCTCCCCAACCAATCTCAGTACAACTTCCAATCAGGCATCAGTAGTTTTCACAACTACCATTATGGAGCTGATGAAGGTGCCTTTCATGAGCTGGATAAGATGGAAGCTTCCCTGCCAACACCAGTTAGTGACCCCTCCGATGAAGAATGAGAGAACAACGTCAGTGCAGACAACTCCGACCCTCTTGAAGGTGCTGACGATTCAGGACCTGAGTCAGACTCAGATAATGATGATAAGGTGGCTCGTGACCGTGTATCAGTCCCTTACTACAATCACATTCCAGGCGACAATTGGATGGTCGACAGCAACATGGAGCCGCCAGAGGTCCCAGTATGGGGTCCACTCACTGGGTTTATGAAGAGCCAACAATTTGGCTCGAAGAAGGAGGTGCGGCACGCCATTGAGACTGAAGCAATGACTCAGAATTTTGAATGGCACACAACTCATCCCAACACTAAAAGGCTCTTAGTCAGATGTCGTAATCATCATGAGGGGTGCAATGTTAGGATTCGGGCCATCAACATCAAGAGGCACGACCACTGGGTCATATCCCGTGCGGTGAACACACACACATGTGTGTCATCCATAACTTCCCAAGGCCATCGACAGTTGAAATCCAGGGTGGTTGCTGCGGCTATCAAGCATCTAATTGAGCAAGATCCGGACCTGAAGGTGAAAGTCATAATCGCTGACATTGCAAGTCGTTATGGTTATATGATTAATTATAAGAAGGTGTGGCATGGAAAGCAGAAAGCTCTGGCCGCCGTCTTTGGTGATTGGGAAGAATCATATGCATTCCTTCCCAGGTTAATTTTGGCATTGGAGGCGTCTAACTCTGGTACTGTTTTTTGGGCATTCAAGCCATCTATTGATGGTTTTGGCTTCCGTGTCCCTGTGATCCAAGTGGATGATACATTCCTTACCGGCAAGTACAAGGGCACTCTCCTGATTGCCAGTGGGGCGGATGCAAATAGACAAGTCTTTCCTTTAGCCTTCGCCATTGTTGAGGGAGAGAATGCTGATAGCTATGGATGGTTTTTCCGACAAATTCAGCTCCACGTCACTAGGAGGACGAACCTGACAATAATATCTGATCAGCACGCCGACATTAGAGCTGCCATCTTAGGTTTAGATCCAGCCTGGAAGTGGTCCCAAAGGTGGTGCATATGACACTTCAAGAGCAACTGGAACCATCATATCAAGCGGAAGAAGCTTGCTGATAATTTGTGGTGGATTGGTAAGCTCTCTATTAGCCGTTTAATTTTGTCAGCTAACAATATCTTGTAATCAGGAGAGTGGTGCACTTGTTAGACTCTTTCTAAAGAGATGCATGCCTAAGGAGATGGGGTTTT